TTTCTATATATTCTTAAATTAGAAAGTTATTTTCTAGAAATCTTCTAAAGTGTTTGTTTTATTCCATTATTGTTCAAGTGCTGTGGAAATTCCTGACGATGTAGATATAGAAGAAGAAAAAGAAAGTGATGAGTCAGATGAAGAAAGTAATCCTACTGAACATGTCCAGGGTACAAATAACACAGACTTGGGAGAAGATACTCTGTATCAGTTGGCAAAATCTGAAGAAAGAGAACTGCGGAAGTTCAGGAAAGTGGACTACAGCTGGTTTACTGCTCCTTAGGCCTGCGAGGGAGGACAGCCTATGGGGTTGTGCACATTCTATTTTTGATTGTTGATACTCAAAAAATATATTTTTAATATTATTTTGTTCTTAAAATATTAAATGTTGACCACTAGCTACACACCACGTGTGCATGTTGTGCGGGCAGATGCTGGGTGGCTCGGTGGTCCTAGCTCATTTCTTACTTTGAATTGCATCAGCCTCACAAACTGGGTGATGCAGCACGACTGAGGCTGGGACTCTGGCAGCGTGCGTCCATCAGCCACAAGCCGAAGATGATGCTGAGATTGTAACCGAAATGCATTCAGTAGCTGGAGGTGGCCTGCACTGGTAGGAAGGCTTGGGTCCTTATTCATTCCTGTTAATGGAATTAGCCCAGAAAAATCATGAGCCAATTTGATTATGCTGTGTTCCACCGGCCAAGTAGAGCCATTAGGGGCTGCCTGAACATCTCACTGCTGCAGATTTGAATCATCTGGCCCACGTTTCCCATTGCTAAGTGGAGAACAGCCCACTTTTATGTTACAGCAGTGAAGTTGTGACATCTACACTACTTTTTACATTTACTACTAGCATTTTACATTTTACAGTTCACTGATAAGAATTCTCTAAGATGTGTAACATCTTATGTATTAACATAAGGCAATGAGGTGCACAGTTCCTGAGAGCGCAGCACGGTGTGTTCACGAGCTTGCTGCCGGTGCAGGGTTGCCCCCCTGCCTGATGGGGCCCAGAAGCAGGCCTTTGGTGGTGGGTAAGCGTGAGGAGAAAGCCTTCGTGAGTAGCGTGCGCGCCCCTACAAGATGAATGCAGAGCTCCTTCACCTCGTCTATCGTGTGGTTGTCAGCGAAGAGGACAACCATCTGTGAAGCAGGAAGCCAGCTCACTGGATGCCGTTTTGATGGGCTGCTCATGTTCAGAACTGTGAGACCTAGACTTCTGGGTGTGCTGTTTTGTTAAGAGTTGCCTAAAAGGACTGAGTGTCTACATTAGTATCGAACAGCATTGTACCTGAGTGCTGCAGTCCCATTTTCCAATACTTGCTCACCCGAGAAGTGCCCATTTCCCCTACCCACCCCACCCGACCCCGAGGCAATAGTCTCTGTCTCTGAATTTGCCTATTCTGGACAAGTCATTTAAGTGGAATCACACAACTTGTTGCCTTAGGGAACTGGCTCCATGCTACGGCATGTATTAGTTCTGTATTCTTCTATGGAGGAAACACCTGAGTGTGTTCTGCTGGGTACACACCTCAGAGTGAAGCTGCTGGGTTACTTGGTTTCTTACATGTAAAGCCTTTTAAAGAATTACTAGAGTCTTAAAGCAGTGTCCTGTTTTATACATATTTACGTTATGGCACATAAATTGCCCCATAGCTGGATCTATTAAATGAAGGACTCTTCAAAAGATTAGGTTGGTTTTGTCCCAAGTCTTTTTTTTTTTTTTTTTAAATTTTATTATTAACCAATGTTAAGGTGAAAGCAAAATGGAGAAGCTGCGGAGATTTCTCCTAGGCCCTCTCCCATGGACAGGCAAAGCCTCTTAGCAGCATCCTCTTCCCAGTTATCCCCTCCCCCAGTGCTGCACCCGTCCCAGCTGACAAACCTACCCTGACAGTCGAAATCACTTCAAGCCTGCCCTTCATGGGTTCAAGCGTGGGTTTTACATCCTAGGAGTCGGGGCCACCGTGACCATCATGGTGTGTTCCAGAGTACTTACTGTTCAGAAAACGCAGAGTTCTTTTTTGAGGCCAGTCTTTGAGCTTTGTGCTAATCCCAAGTGGACTCTAGCTGTCTCTTGCTCTGCTCCTGGTCAGCTGGTTTGTGGTTACCTTTTGCTCTCCCAGAGTGACCAGCCTTCTTGTAATTCCTTACCACCAAGATCCCTTTTGGGGTTTTTTGTGAGGTTTTTTTTTGTTTTGTTTTTTTCTCTTTTGGTACCAGGAACTGAACTCAGGATCTTGCACTTGCCAGGCAGGCACATGTGCTGTTGAGCTATCTCCCCAGGCTTCCCTGTTGTTGAAAACGGTCTTAGACTTGAACTTCTGTACTCTCATTCCAAAAATGTCAGCATTCTATATCCTTCAGACACCTCTTACAAATCCTTGGTCACGGGCAGGCACGAAGGCCCATCTCAGTGACACTCGCCCTGGCCCTGTCTCCCCTGATGCGGCACGGCTGCCCCGTGAGCAGATGGAGCCAGAGCAGTGGGCCTCTGTGCTGCGCCGCCTGCCCGTGGGGTACAAGCTGCGCACCAAGCAAGGCTGCGACCCTGCGGAGGGAAAGAAGACCCTGAATTCGGGCCCGGCGTTTAGCCTCCGCAGCACGCACCTGGCTCAAGTGCTACCATCTCTGGCTTTTCTTGCTGCCAAGATTTATTAGGTTTTCTTCAATAAATAGTTTATTTGCTGTTCTTCTTTGGGATAATTAAATGTTCGAGTGTCTTAATGTAGTTTTTACCAATTATGGCTGCTCTGAGAGCCCACCCGTCGTTCTCGTTGCTGCCCTGAAGGCCTCTCCGGTCCTCCTATGCCTCGTCTGTCTTCCCCCTTTAGCGTACAGTGTGTTGAACAGATCAAGCATGGTGTGAGACTTTCTCACTGACTTTTCAGCTTGTTTTAATGGCTTTTATAGGATACTCCATGCTCTATATATTGGTAGTTGTATCTAGAATATTGGACCATGTTACTGTCCAATACCAGTAAAGGGCAAGTCCTGCTGAATAGCCACCAAAGTCTTGGGCAACACAAATCTGGAGGTTGATCAGAAGACAAAGATGGTGTTTGGTCATCATTTTGCTCATCACCCTCCCTTCTGCCCCTCTACTCCATGTCATTTTGTCCTGTTCAGACACTGACATGACACCTCCGATTTCAAAGAAATAACTTGTGTTTGCAGTTATGCATGAAGGATTTTACACCTACAAGACAAATTACTCATTTTGGGAACAAGTTTTTCTTTAGTAGCAACTATTATGTAACCTTAAATCACTATAAATATAGATTTAATTATTCTTACACTGAAATGTGATAACTTTGTTGGGAAAATTCTAATTCCTTGTTAGTTTTAAAAAGGAATAGTTTTATTTTTGTTTTTTAAAGAAAAAAACTACTGATAAAGGGGAGATGGCTGCTCAGTTCTTTAGGCCCTGGGCTTCCGTCCAGTGGATCTGTGGTGCTGTCTCCTTGGCTTCTTTCCCCAGATGCCAGCCCCATCCTGGTGGGTGAAACAGACTGACTTCTGACTTCCGACTTCCTCACCATCCCTCCAGTGTCCCCAGCAGGCAGTGCTGCTGCTGGTCATGCTTAGTGCTACCACTGTTGTCCAGGCGAGGCCTGGGGTTCAGGAAATGCTCTTCTGAGCGTCATTCATGGATGGACTCCAGGCTGACCGGGCACTATATACCGTGCACCTCACACACATCACCTGGTGCCCACAATCCCATGTCTCAGTTTCTCCTCCAATTTGAGGAAACATAGACTACAGAGGGGTGAAGTAAACCCTACCAAGATCTCTAGGCTCTCAGGGCTAAAAGCAAGAGCATGCCCAGTCAAATTGCAACTCCTGTATCCTACAGGATACCCAGTGTCACCCTGTAGAATAACTTTGCCTCCCAGACTCGAAGCAACTGGTTACTATTGCCAACCCACCTATAACTGGAGAGGAATTGTGAAATGGTGAAAAATAGCCCAGATGTGGGGCTAATCCCAGCTACAAACAAGAATTGCCTAGCTCTGTGCTCTGGCTGAAGTCTTAAGCATTTGTGTTTCAGCCCCTGATTCTTCAAAGTGAAATACTGGCTCCTCAAGCAGACGGGCTCACTTTTTTGATCAGTAATGTTACGTTGCAGATACAAAGAAAATGTGTCAAATTTTTATATCAGATTATACACTGGAATATATGTGAAATGTTGTTTACAAATTTAAGCCAGTTGGATGACAGGCTCTCTCCAGCATTTTCTTCCTTATCACAGAACAGCAGCACTGTGGAAATTGTAGTACACATTGTGGTATTACAGATGATGTATTTTAAACATTGTCAGGTTTGTGCCATAACTACAATGGGTCTGTTAGCACAAACCTGTTAAGTACAACCATCTAGTTAGAGAATTTACTAAGTCTTCTGAACGGCGCCGACATTCTGAGGCCACTTTATCTGAACTACTTCTGGAAATGATGCTTTCCTGTTATCTGTGTTTCTTGACAATAATGGAAATGGAAAACCTTCCTTATGACACCAGAGTAAAGACTTGGGACTGAGGGAGTGCAGGGACGTGGCTAATGGTTCGGGTGGATCTGGTGGGGTGGGAGGAATAACATCTAGTGCTCTAGTTCATTTAATATTGCAGAAAAGCACGTAGGGAGGATTCTTTTTTTTATATTAACCATTTTTTTTATTTATTATTATTTATTACATTTATTTAGTGTGTGTGTGTGTGTGTGTGTGTGTGTGGCCAGCTCAGCCCACCAGGGGGCGGGGCTGGCTGGCATGTGGTGCTGGGGATCGAACCGCGGTCCCTGTGCTTTGCCAAGCTTGTTTCAAGTAGGTGCTTTAGACCACTGAGCCATCTCTCCAGCCCCGGGAGGATTCTTAATGTTCCAAATGCATCCAAATGATGAATGTCTCAGGTGAAACCCATGTCAGCTACCCTAATCTGATCGTTGCACAGCATACACTGTGGAAAGGTTATTTAGCCTGTAAATATGTACAACCTCAAACTGTCAATTAAAATAAAAATCATATACTAAGTAAATATATTTCCAAGAGGAAAATGAATAGAGGACCTAAGAGACAGAAGAGTAGAGTGGTTTGAGCATGCGTAGGCAACGAGACAGGAATCTGTTGAAGGTGAGGCCCCTGCTACACACAGCCAGCATCCTGCCCCACTGCAGCTCCCACGTTCTCTGCAGGGGCCATGGTGCTGTGTTTACCACCCTCAGAGAATTTCTCAGGAGAATTCCTCTTGGGGCCCTCTAGCCTCCTCTTTTCCATGTCATGAAGTCCTTTACCTCAGTTGGAGGCCCTTTTTTGGATGGAAGAGCTAACATGTTTGAGCAACTGAAAAGCTTTGAATGCTGAGGCATCATAAGAAGACAGGTGTGAATGTGTGTGTAAACT